CAACCAGGGAGTATTTCGGCCATTTTGTACATATTTGTACTTTTACAATGGACACACAAATTGATCCATAAACATAGCAAAGATTTTTTTAAATAATCTGCACACACAAACAGACAGTCCCATAATTACTAAAACCCTCCAATGTATGAAACAATTATATTACAGTTTAAAATGAGAAAAAAACTGTAAAGACGAGTGAGTCTGCAGAGAGTGAGACTGATGAGTCTGAAACATGTCAGTACTGAGCTCCTGTTTTCACCTGATGTTTGTTATATAATCATTTTATTTCTGAACAGTAAATCCCCCAGAAGAAACTAATGAAGTGAAATGTCCACTCAATAGTATTTCTGACACTTATCTAATGACACTTATCTGTTTGGGAATTATAAACTGTAACAAATATCTATAACACACATTTTATTCATGGCTACATTTCATCGGCTGTGTCTGATGGGATTTTATTTTCTTTAATGAACCATTTATTGAATATGTGAAAAGATTTCAAATATTATTGAAGTATTCAAAGATTTATTTTAAATCTATTCCAATAAATGGATGAAAAGAAATGTGGTGCAGTCTAGTTCAGACAGTTTAAACTTTACAGTAAACAGCAGAGAGTCAAAAAGTGAAAATCTTACATTTTCCATGACACAAGTTGGATGTTTGGCTCGTGTCAGTTTAAGAAAATCTTTGGTCCTTCTTAGGGTGGAAAAAATCTGCAGTTTGAGCGTGATTTTCAGAGGAAATCGCTGATTTAAACTTGAGAACAACTTTCTGTGGCTGTCTGAGAGTTTGTTTGAGTTGAAATGATGATCTGATATGAATGATGCACTTTAAGGGGAACCATGGCAACCATAGAATGTTACACGACCATTTTGTACACATGAGTTTTTACAGTCTCCTCTCACCTCTAAAGTTTACTTTCTTTATAAACAATACAGAAAGGATCAAACTTTCACACACAAATAGATCGCTCCTTGATAAAAAAAACAACTTAAATATATTCTTGAACTATTATTGTTGTTTTCTGTCCTCAGCAGAAAAAAGAATAACAAACAGATATTTTATATTTTCTGTTTTATTGGGCTTACTTCCTCATTTACATTTAACATGATCTTTAAACAGGAACAGCACCCCCCATGTTCATGAAATCTATCACCAGTTTGAAGATCAAATAGTATTTCATCATGTTTTGATTTCATCAACAGATGACCTGCCCCTTTGGGATCACCTTCATTTCATTACCTTCAAGACATTAATTCAGTTGTCTTTTTCGCAACAACTCGTAGCCTGATTTAATTTGATCGAGGTCGAGTCAGAGTTTGGCTTTTCACAGTATTTTTAAACAATTGTATTTTTCTGAAGCGTACAGTTTAGACCAATCACCTCAGAAAATTGTGTCTTCTTCAGCAATTAATGAAACAGCTATGAAACTGAGTGTTTATAAAATACTGACCTATTAAAATGATTAAATCGTCTTGAGCTTGTATAGAGCTTTTCTAGTCTTCTGTCTAATCAAAGCACTTTTACGCCGCTGGTCACACCTTCCCATTCAAACACTGATGGCAGAGGCTGCTGTGTAAAGTGACCATCAGAAGTAACTACAAATGATCTCTACGCAGACGAAGCAGCGGGAGAAACTTTGGATTATTAGTGTCTTGTCCGAGGACAGGAGGGCTGCAGGAGCTAGGGATCGAACCCCCGACCTCCCATTTCAGAGATGACAGACTCTACCAGCTGAGCCACAGCCTGAGATCAAGTCTCACCACTGATTAACCTCCACAAAGAAGAGAAATGTTGTTTTTAAAGTGGACAGATGTACACTTCATTATGATGTCCGTCAGTGTGCTGCTGCGAGGTGCAAACAAGTCCGCCTGCAGACTTCTCTGCTCATCACTGGAAACACTTCTTGATTGCTTTGCTTGGTATGGTCTTCATAAGGTAGAAGTAAGCAAAAGAATATTCCGATTATAATTCATGTACAACAACTTAGTAACTTACTGTAATAAGCAGTAATTCGGACGGGAGTGAGGGTAAACGCTTAGTTAATGGCCTTAAACTATAGACTATGGTCATGTAGAATAAGGTAATGAGAAGCACTTAATTATGACTAATAAGCAGCCAGTGTGCTACTAGTTCGCATGCTAATAAGCAGCTAGTTAATGAATATTGTGACTTTAATTGAAAGTTACCAAAAGTATACGTTTAGAATTCATGAAGAAGTGAAACAGTGAACATACAAAGTGTTATGAGCTTCATGCAGTTATAGTTTTGCGGTGAAGGCACAGCAATTTTGTCGGCCTTTGTTGAAGTATGGCGGTAAATGTAAACTTGTGTTACGGTTTGTATTTAGACCCAAAAGCAGACACGCAGCGAAAATTGAAGGGTTTGGGGTTTTATTGCAGGGCTGAACATACAAAGTGTTATGAGCTTCATGCAGTTATAGTTTTTGCGGTGAAGGCACAGCAATTTTGTTGAAGTATGGCGGTAAATGTAAACTTGTGTTATGGTTTGTATTTAGACCCAAAAGCAGACACGGCAGCGAAATTGAAGGGTTTGGGTTTTGTTGAAGTATGGCGGTAAATGTAAACTTGTGTTATGGTTTGTATTTAGACCCAAAAGCAGACACGGCAGCGAAATTGAAGGGTTTGAGGTTTATTGCAGGCTTGGTATAGGTGGATGGCTGGCTGGCTGGCTGGGAGTGACGGCGTGGAGAGACGTAGGCAGGCAGGTAATTGGTTGATTTGTCTGACGATGAAGCAGACTGGAGGAGATGACACCGGTGAAAATCTGGACAACAGAGAGATGATCTGTGAGGACTCACTGGAAAAAATACTAGGAATAAACTCTAACAAATGTTAAGAGCAGCCGATCACAGCTACCACTTCAGTAGACTCAATAATCGACCATGAGTCGAGGTGAAACCAGGGTCTTGGCCTGAGGCAGATGGGAAATGAGTTGCAGGTATGAGTAGTCACCAGGTGTTTGATTGGAGCCACGCCCTCCAGACACACACACACACACACACACACAAACAAAGGGGAAGGAGACACAAGGGATACACAGAGAAACAGGATCACAGCCAGAGCCGTGACTCTTTGTATTGTACTTGTAGAGTAAATAGCTGCACTTTCCCAAACCAGGAAATGACGAGGTGAGATTACAAGTTCATACTGTGTGTTTTCCTCTTTTAAAACTGCAAAATAAAACATTCAGTTTAAAATAGGAAAAATCAAGTGAAGCTTAATGTGGTTTTTGATTTTCCTTTAAATAAATGTTGTGCGTTAGCGCCCTCTACTGGCTCAAGCCTTTAATTACTGAAGACAATCTAAATCGTCTCTTCCACACTGATAATTGAACTCTGTGAAGCTGAGGATACTCACTTTACCGTACTTTACCGTAATACTTTGACAACATCAAGTTCAGAATACTGCTTTACTTTTACATTTACTGGGGAATACTGCTGTAATTTGACAAACACGTTTCAGAAGTAGACTTTTAATGTCAATAAGTAACCTTTTTTTTTTTTTTTTTTTTTACATTATTATACATATATATCCATCTTAAAGAAAGTATATGATCTGAATACTTCCATGTTTAGTCTGACAGTAGGCAACTCATCTTTTGCGGTGAGTAAACAGAAGTGTTTTTTTGGTTGTTATGATCAGCTGACTTTGCAGCTCCGCTTCTGTCACATGACATCCGTTTCCCATGTTGCTCTCCGACAGATTCTGCTGAACTTACAACTGGATCTAGTTCCAACTCTATAGAAGTACATTACCTCAGCAAAAAAAAAAACTGCCTTTGTTATTTAGTTAGTATTTGTTTGTTTTTATACAAAAAAAAATGTAGACCTATCAGGAAAAGGGGAATGTACGGTCACAGAACTCGGTTGAAAAGTATCGTACTTTAATGGGAGGTTGTATGTAGGAAGCGACATGATGATTGTTGGGAACGGTAAAGGCTTACTTAAATAGGACTCGTATTGTGCATTTTGTGTATGCCGAAGTGAAAACGGGACTCTAACAAAGCTCTGACTACTTTCCTTTTCCATTTCAAAGGTAGGTAAAGAGATTAGAGCGAGGGACAACTTAAATTGTCTGTTTCTTAATGGACTTTGGCGTTGTGCATTTTCACCCTGGTGCCAACAACAGCCAGAAAGTAAGACAGACTGGTGATATTGTACGTGAAAAGGAATTGATAGACGACGGAAATGTTGCGTATTACAGCTAAATTCAACTTATTTTACTCTTTGTTTAAACGTGCTGAGAGCTGAATGAAGCAAAGGTCGAAGTCAGCTGCTGCACCCTTAAAGATAAGATATCACATTATCATTTGATCCTCATGCATCTTTGATCAGATACACACTGCTGGTTGTAAATAGAAAAGAAAGTAGACATACGTACTTCTCCATAATGTTCCTCTCAAGCCTGTAATATATTTTGAATGTATTGCAACTTAGATGATAGAATTCAAATCACAGTAGTTTTTGTTATTTCTTATTAATATAAAAATGGTGTAAATTTGGGGAAACCATGTAGGTCCGGCTAGGAAAATAAATAAAGTTAAAGGTGTGTGTATGAGAGTAAACTTTATATCTCCAGATTTCAGGCTGTCACTGTAGGTTTTGGGACACTTTTGGACCTTGAGTCTAATAATAAAAGTTGATGATGATGATGATTGTGAAGGATGTGCTGAGTGATTTTTCGCTTTTTCTGTATCGAATAGGAGCGTTTGATTTGTTCTGCTGAGGCTTCCTCCAATGATCTGAAACAGAGCAGAAAGAGTTGGTCTCCGAGAGAGAAACATGCCGTCTAACAAGTCGGTGTCTGACGCTCCCATCACTCAGTTCGTCAACTGCAGAATCCTAAGAGACCACCGGCTGCAGAGGTACAACACACACACTCACACAGACACACACACACACACACACAATTACACACAGACACACTCTCAATGCTGTCACAGTTCAGGCTAAGGTGTTGTGTGTGTGTGCGTGTGTAGAGGACCTGTGGGTGCGTGACGGGAGGATTTAGACCCAGAGAAGCTGTTCTTTGATGAGCAGGGATACGCTGACAAACGTGTGGACTGTGAAGGCAGCATCATCGCCCCGGGGTTCATAGACACCCAGATCAACGGTAACAACACACACACACACACACACACACACACTGTCTAATACCATCATATTTTGCTGCCTTCATCTGCCAGATCTGAAACACTAAGTCATTTAGTGCTTTTGATTTATGGCTGCAGCAAACTTTCAATCAATCAATCAGTTGTTATTTATACAGCGCCTTAAACACTGTGTCTTGTGTTGTGATTATTTTTTGCTTCTTCTGCACTTGTATAATGTATTTTGGTTGTGTTTTTGCAGGGCACTATTGTGAATGAGATTTTATTCTGTCTAAAGGAAATAGTTCATCCTGTTGTGAACATGAACCTCTAAGTCATTCTCACACTATGTTTTTTTTATTACATCCAAGCATATGCTTTGGGCAAAACAAATTAATGGTTTTTGTTGCCGTCTAGTTTTGTTTAGCATCTTACCACTGTCTGTGTTTTTTGGACCGTGACGTTCGACATCTTCTCATTCTGATCCCCTCCAGGAGGATATGGCATCGACTTCTCTCAGGCCTCTGACGACGTGGGAAGTGGAGTTTCTTTTGTGGCCAAAAAGATCCTAGAGCACGGCGTCACATCCTTCTGCCCCACCCTGGTTACCTCTCCCCCGGCTATCTACCACAAGGTGACCTTTGACCTTTATTGAGACTCCAAATATGTTGGAATATGTCAAATATGTTCCAAGTTTTTTGCAAAGATAATTATGTGCAGGTTCAAATTATGTCTAAAGAGCACACAAAAACTTCTAGTATAAAAAAATGTATCTTTAATAAGTGTTAAAAACACTTATTTTAGGACTGATGACTTCATATGACCATCAAAAACAAACCAGACCGAGGCGCTGGATAGTCTAGTGGTTATGTTGCGCGCCCCATGTACGGAGGCTGTAGTGTTCGTCGCAGTGGTCATGGGTTCAAATTCAACCTAAGGTTTTCATAAAGTTGTATTAGCATTGTGCAAATAGATACTAGTAAAGAATAGCAATCTGTTTTCAATAACATTAAAAAAAGAAAACAGCCAGCAAAGCCTTTAACCACCAGCTACACTGAACAAAAAAAGTAAAGTCAAAGTCATTACATGTTAGCAAGCATTTCCTTAAAGCAACAACTTCAGAGACGTTTATTTGATGATTCTTAATGATGATAAAGCAATGGCTGACTGTTTTAGTCCTTTTAATTATGCGTAAATCACGGGCTGTTTAAATTGTATTTTCTTGTGTTTGTCTACCTCTAATAATGTCGAGCTCACTAACCATCAAACTGTGTGTTACAGGTTCTGCCTCAAGTCAAAGTTCACAATGGAGGAAAACATGGAGCTGGAGTTCTCGGTACGATTAAATTCAAATGTCTTAGTACAGCTAAGGGCCCCTGATAATACTGAACGTCATCGCTGAAGGTGTCACTTGTTTGGAAGAGACTTTTCGACAAGACGTCATAGATTGGTTTATTGACTACAGCTTTGTGATCCGTGGGCATATTGTTATCTCTGTGCAGGGGTCCACCTGGAGGGTCCGTTCATCAGTGCGGAGAAGAAAGGAGCTCACCCAGAGCAGTTTCTCCGTACCTTCCGCTCAGGTGGACTACAGGACCTGATGGAGGCCTATGGCAGCCTGGACAACGTTGCCATGGTGACGCTGGCTCCTGAGCTGGCCAGCAGCCAGTCAGTGGTGAGGGAGCTCTCTCAGCGAGGTGTCACTGTGTCCTTAGGTGAGCATAGTTTTACTCCAAACAGACCCAGATGAGACGGCTGATACTTCATGATGTGACTCTCAGGATCTTTTTTTTGCTCCTTCTTGTTCTTATCATGCAGGTCACTCTGTGGCCAACCTGTCCCAGGCTGAGGAAGCCGTACAGCACGGAGCATCCTTCATCACTCACCTCTTTAACGCCATGCTGCCTGTGAGTAGCCAACTGGTTCTCTTTTAGACCCTGTATCTAATGATCATGTTTGCACAACACTCAGATACGAATTGTGCAACATTTCAAAGCACACCGAGCTGCTTCTTGTCTCCGATAACTGCAAGCCCAGCAGTTACATTCTCCTTGTAGTGTTGGTTATTATTTTAAATGAAGGAATTTTCTTATATTTCTCCCTGCGATGTGATCCAGTTTCACCATCGTGACCCCGGCATAGTGGGCCTGCTGACCAGCGATCAGGTCCCTGCAGGCAGGACGGTCTACTATGGAATGATAGCTGATGGGATCCACACCAATCCTGCAGCATTACGCATCGCTCACAGAGCTCACCCTGCAGGTCAGTGAAAGTGGATTAAAATATCAGAATAAAAGCATTTGAACGCTGATGAATACCAAAGGAAAAGTGCTCATGTTGCACAGACGAAAATTGATGTTCATGAAGAAACCAAGAACTCTGCAGAGATATGAATGAAACAAATAGGATGTGAGTGTTTTTGTGTAAAATAAAAAGTGTTTTTTATTTGATGTATTAACCTCCAGCAGGTTATCTCTGTTGTCAGAGGATATTTCAGGTTTAATCAAATTAACAGCAACATATCTACATGTTTTTTCCCTTGCAGCTTCTAAGGCCTTGTGTCTATGTCACTAGACTGTAATAGAGCAATTATCCACTCTTCATTTGAGTTTGTTTTGTTGTGTTTGCAGCTGATGTTCCCAGCTAAAGACTTGCACGTTGTACAGCCCAGTACACCCAGTTAACCATCATCGGGAAGAGTAACAGCTGGTATTTTCTCTCTTCAGGTTTTTCTCTGGGTTGTTAAGGGAGTCCGTAAAAATAGAACAGCTTGTTTCTCCCGCTCTCCCCACACCCTCCTTCAGTGTCTCTCCCTGCTGGATAAAAAACATGATGAAGCAGAATTTCAGCTGACTGCAGACACTTTTCTTTCCTCAACAGTTTAGGAAGACATAAGTGAAATGAAGTGATGTGATTTGAAGACTAAAAACTTCATCAACTGGTCCCCATGTGTGCCTCCTGTGTTTCCAGGTTTGGTGTTGGTGACAGATGCGATCACAGCGATGGGTCTGCCTCCAGGTCGCCACACTCTGGGCCAGCAGGTCATAGAGATCCAGGGTCTGCACGCTTATGTTGCAGGTCTGTGTTCTAATATACATCTAAACATCTGCTATACATTTAAACCTTTAAGATAAACACAGAGGCCTGGCTTTTTTTCTGTGTATTAAGTTGTGTTCCTCGCCTCATTCTTTCCATCTTTTAGGAACAAAAACACTCAGTGGCAGCATAGCCACAATGGATATGTGTATACGACACTTTAAACAGGCTTCAGGTGAGTTTGTGCATTCTCACACCTTAGTATACTGATGCCAGCCGTGGCATAAAAGTGACTCTCTCCTTCCTCACTCCCGATGATGAGCCACAATCAAACAAATTGTCTGTCCAAAATCAGTGGCAATATGGCTTTGAAACACTAGTTTAAAAATAAGTACTGCAGCCTCAGTAGCCACGCCCCCTTCTTATTGGTAACTTGGCTATTTGATAAACTGCTGCTGTGGTATTTCAATGCTGGCTGAGTCTTTGAGCCCTGGAAGTTGGCTGTGTATTTCACACATCATGTACGCACAGGTAATAAAATCCCAGAATCCCTGAGGACATTCTATATAATCATCCGGAGCTCATACACAGCGTTCTGCAACAGCTCCACATTTTTTTGTCTCGATTATCATTGTGCGGTGGTCTGTGTGTGTGCGTGTGTGTGTGTGAATGTTTTAACAGGCTGCAGTGTAGAGGAAGCTCTGGAAGCTGCCTCGCTCCACCCGGCTCAACTTTTGGGTATCAACAATAAGAAGGGAAACCTGGACTAGGGAAAGAAGATGAAGATGTGGAGGCCTGCAGATGGAAACCTGTCTTACAGTTAGAATCTGATCGATGATCTTGCTAAAAAGCCAGTATTTCTATTTTCTCTGGACACTTTTATTATGTAGGTATTTTTAAACCAAGAATCAGTTGCTAATTCAAACTTGGACTCATAGTACTCTCTTTATAAATTCATGAGTATGAAATAGAAATGTTTTTATGAATGAGCATGCTCTTGCTGGAAGAGTCTGTTTTTCTAAGCCTGTATCCGGATGCTTTACAGTCAAGTTTATAATTACATTAAAGAGAAACTTTCAGTGTTACTATAACGTGATTGTTCCTTTTCTTTTCTCGATGAACATGAACAAATCCCATTTACTCAAAGTGATGTCTGAAAAGTGACAGAAAGGCACAGATCATTCACCACTGGTCAATGAATGCCTACTTTACATTGTTAATAAAAGAGGCTGGGATGAAATCATACTAAAACAAAATACTTTGTGATCAAGCAAACATATACTGTATATTCTCCCTTAAATTATTCCTTGCACTTAACCCTTTCTCTCCCCGGGATTCAAACCCTAAACCTTTACATTGTAAGGCGGAAGTCCCAACCCCCTTTCTCACTGTGCTTTTTTTAGGGTTAATGTTTTTTCCATTATATAATAGTAGAGAAAGTCAGGCGGTCCAGGCTGAAGTGGAAGAAAGCCGTAAAACAACCTAGCTCCATATAGGAACACCCCTACTGGAGTTCAAATCCTAAACCCACTAGCTGAGAGGCGTCAGTGCTAACCCCCAAACTGACATGCCACCTTGCATTGTTTGCCTGTAAAGGTTTTTTTTTTTTTTTTTTTTTAACTTTCCTCTACATAAAAGGAGTTGATTCTCCAGTGGGAGAAAGCTGTAACACCCTATCTCCACACCGTGAGGCCCCAGATGGGATTCAAAGCCAGAACTGTCTGTGCAGCGGTGTTAGCCTTCATGGGTAAATGTACTTTCTGGTACATTAAGGACGTTTAGAATCATGACTGACACTCCAGGGGGAAATGTGCAGAACGCCCTTCATGGGGAGAAGCCCCTTCCCTTCTGGGGTTTAAACCCAGAGTTAACTGCCCTGTGTGGCAGCTGTGCTCCTGCTGTACAGTACTGTAATGAAACTAATATCCCCTGTAAGAAATGTTCCAGCCATCTTTTATTGTCTTTAAGGTTTTTTTTGTTAAATCTATGATTGAAAAATTCAACTGACATCAATAATTATTTACAATAAAAATAACTGAATCAGCTTCAGCTAGGCGTACCTCACTCACATTAAAATTAGACTAATTCCCCCAAGTTCTTTATTCACTCTTTTTATTTTTTAGCCCTGAAAGTTGTAGTAGATAATCTCTCTTGACAAATTAAAAAGTTCTATTTGCCACATCCTGAGGTTTCTTACAATCAACAACTTCCTTCATTTCATTGACCTGTACAACTATTTCTATAGGTTTCCATAAACTACCTGAGGACTTCATTTTAAATCACAAGACTATTTTAATCATCTATTTCACAATCTTTTTGAATTATCTTAAAGCACCTTCAAGATGATAAAATGTCAGATGGGGAAACCCCGTGAACAAGATATTGTCAACAGTCCTTAATGAAAAGTGTAAAAGACGCTTAAGTCTGCAAAATGAGTTGATAAAAGTGTTATTCACAGTTTCTCTGGGTGGTGGCTTCGATTTCTTGTTTTGTTGAACCAGCAGCAGTCAGAAGAGTCTTGTAACAGTCTTGTTTTTTTTGAGTTGATTGATTTTAAAACCGCTTTTTGGAACAACTTATTTGCTCAGTGTGAAAGAGTTCATTGTTTTCAAATTGGTTTCCCATTAGACGCATATCAACCAAAAGCAGTTTTATTTTGAATGTCCCTACCGGAAGTGTGTTTGTATTCACTGCACCTTGACAGTTTTGTGAGAGGAGGTGGGGGGGGTGGGGGGGAGCTCGTGCTGGTGACGGTGCACATCGGGGCTTCAATGAAAGAGGATGCATGGAGCTCTGAGACGGCTGCCAGGAACAGTCCGCCCCGGCTTCTCGCACTGCGCGTCCGCTCCGCAGTTAGGTGAGTGCGGCCGTTAACACGTGCTGTCTGCGTCGGTGTCCTCGTGCTGCTCTGCAGTTTGTGAGTCAGCCACCAGCTGTACACTGCAGGTGCACCAGGTTACCCTAAGTCTATGTCAACTTCAGTATACCAGCAGGGAGGAATCTGCAGTATGAAACGGAGGATGCACGCTTTCCTCCAGAATGCAAACTAAACACAGTGCAGTGATTCAGTTTTAATGCTTTAAGTTTAATTGTGTTATTAATTGATTATTTCTAAGTTTAGATGCTGAGGAAAGACAGCCAGACAAACCAGACAAAGAAGGAGACGAATTGTCAGATATATCATTTTGATTTAAAGGACACAAGAAGTGTTTTGTTTCAGCTCAAGGACATCTCACCACAATGTGCTCTGTGTCTGTATGTAAGGATGGAGCTCACATAGATTTGAAGTCCTTGTTCAAGGACATAACTGTGGAGAGAGCCGGTAGGGAGCTGAAGCAGGCAGACACCGAACAAAGCAGTAGATGACATCTGAGTGAACCCTCTCTGAGTCAGTTTAACAGTCTGTGCAGGGTCTGACACCACAGAAGAGACTTACTGCAAGGTATACGGAGAGAAATGAGAGGGGGAGATTTTTTTTATTGTTGTTTTTATGCAGAGAATCATCTCAAACCTTCAGTATAAATATCAGACCAGAAAGGAAGATGTATTCTATATGGAGGAGATATCAACGGTAAAGAGCAAAGTTGGAATGTAAAGATTACACAGTAAGTGTCAAGATGAAGTCCGAACTGTTACCATTAAAGTCCAAATGTTGGAAATGAAGTTGAAGTCTTGAAATGTCAGATGATCGAGAATAAAGTTGAATTCTCTGTATATTCCCGTTAAGAAGGATGGAAGAGTAAGTGAGAGAGAGTGTCTGAAATAAAGTCAAATTATGATTATGATCACTGTTCAGAGGAGAGCTGAAATATTAAGATTAATGGTTTAGTGTCAAGAATAAGATTAAAATTTGCAGAATATATTAGAAATGTCTGGAATGTGAAAATGTCAAGACCAAACTGATAAATTCTTTAGACCAAAGTTGACATTTTGAGGAAATGAAGTCACATTTTGAGATAAAAGTCCAAATGTCCTCTTCCAGGGATCGTTCCACCTGAGCCAGCAGCATCATGGGAGGTTCCACCTCCTCGCTCGTTGAGGAGACTGAAGGTGACGCGCCCCGGGGTGCAGCCCTGCCCCCCTCACCCGTCATGGGATGTCTGAGGAGCAGCCAGAGCATCTCTCTGCCTCGGCAGCTTCCCAGACCGGGCAGACACAGAGAACGCAGGTAAGAGCCGAGATACACCTGACGACCAATCAGCAGCGAGCAGTAAAGAAATGAAACACTTCTAATCCAGTTCTGAAACTCACAGTTTAGAATATCACCCTGGAGAGAGAAGTGTATGAGTGTAGATGGTGTTACGGTCTAGGTGAGGGACACTCCTGCTAAACACAAGAGGATCATTTTTCTGTCATAATCATGGTCTTGGTCTCCGCCTCCCCCTTCTTTGGTCTTGTTCCACTAACACAGTTTACATGATGCTGATTCATTATAGTTTTAACACCACACATTGCTCCACACATTGCTCCTTAAAAGTGATGACTGGATGGGGCAGTTGTTTAATTGATATCCTACACTTCCCAGCCTGGACTATGTGCTCATGAATTTTTCATGAATTGGTCGATATAAAGTCAACCACAGCCTCTCCAGTTTGGTATAAATCTCCACTTATGAATTATTACTGTATCTCTGTCTAATGTGCTGCGTTCAGTCTGTGCAGTGAGATTCTCCTCTGCCTGCTCCACCGTCCCAAACTCCACCAGAGTCGAGTTACTCCCTAACAGGAAGTGTAACACAACCAGGAGGGAAACCCCTAATGACTGAAACATAGACGACTGTCTGGAAACTCACAAGAGGGAATTTGGGTCTACAGAAGACGTTGATTGTATTTAGTTGATGCGTATTAGAGCTGCAGTAACATCTAAAAGGAGGAGAAATGAAAGTGCGACTTAAGTATAAGATCAGAAAGTTAGAGAAAGTCGGATATAACAAGCTTTGAACTTCTGGAAAAGAAAACTTCAAAGGTCAACTGTGATTTTGGAGCTTTTTTTTTCCCGATGAATCCACAGCACTTTACAAATCAAAACTATATCTTCAAAACATCATCCAGGTGGAGGAAAAGCCACAAAAGTGACAGCAGGATGGTAAATGAGTGCTTGATTTCTGAATCTTGAACAGGTTAGAAAAACATCACTGCACTCAGAACTAATGCCTTCAAAGCCGAGTGCCACAAGGCTTTATATTAAACATGGCGCTGTCCGTGGTGCTGAAGTAGCAGGCAGCTTTGTCCTGGCACCTCCTTCTCTCTGTACTGCTGTACTGCCCTTCAGTCAGTTTTGAATCTTTAATATTCTCTATATTGGATACCTGAAATACTCAGTTCTATACTACACTTACGGTTGTCGAAAAGGAGGAGGGGAAACAACACGTAGAAACAAGGGGATGTGGAAGATCAGAGAGAATTATAGACACAAAGATTCTGTATTATTTCAAAATATTCCTGCGGTACTTTTTGATCATTCAGTAGCATCTGTGCTGCTTTAACCACATGTGTACAAAATCACCAAAGAGGTGTTTCTATCATTAATGTGTGAATAAAGAGAAAAAAACAACAGGCACTTTTTTTTTTCAAGATTTGTTTTGGGGGCTTTTATGACTTCATTGGAGAGACAGGACAGTGGATAGAGGCGGAAGCTGGTGAGAGAGAGAGAGAGAGAGAGAATGGGGAACTACACAGAGGAAAGGAGCCACATGTTGGACCTGAATGCGGTCCATCCACATCGAGAACTGCAGCTTCTGCACTAACTAACCACTAGGCCAATGGTGCCCCCAGATGTGCAATCCCTGCCCCTCCCTCCTCCTCTATTGCTGTAATCATGCTCCTCAGCCATCAATATCACCCTGTCACTCAAAGCAACCATGATTCTAATTATGCATAACTTTAGGCTTCACTTGATGTTATATCTAAAAATGTAGACACTGTACAGTTGTCATGAACAGAACAATAAGTTGTAGAGATCGTACTCTTTTTCTTTTTTCTTACTGTAAACATGTTTATTTCTACTTTAAAGATGTTTTTTTTCTCCTTTTTATTTGGAGCCTATTGTGGATCGACTCGCTTTTAGAGCCAGCCCCATGTGGCCTCTAGAGGAACTGCAGTTTTTTGCACTTCCACTTTGGTGTTGTTATTCAACCCAGGCTCTGCTGCTTTGAGAAGGACCCTAAAAAAAGTTGGAGGGGGGCCGGGCTGCCTCTGGTGGATTGTTTTGGCCCTACAATTAAGAGGCCACGTTACAAGAACATTTTACTGGGGAGCAAAAACCGGAGGGAAAAAAAAAAAGAGTATTTCTGCTTTATTAGTTTGGGATAGAAGTTGTCGGTGAGCTCTTGTAGAGTTTGCTCTGCAGTAACCCGTCCAGGTTGTGCTCGGCTGGAAGTTTCAGGCTTCGAGCCAAAGCTACTTAGAGAATGTGGGACAGCCTCAGCACAGATGTCCCACTGGCTCCCGGAGTCTAAATTTCTCCCTGGATGCCAACACATAGATAATCTAGGTCTGTCTTCCAGTCCAGGCCTCAGAGCACAATGCGGTACGCGAGTGTTGGCGCTTTAACAGTGTTTATCAACCACATTCAGAGTGTAAGGCGGGACTGAACCCTGCAATCACTGTTAAATAATCTGACTGAAAAGGCCAAGATGATTAATACCCGCAGATGGAACAAAATCATCAATATTGTATGATCTGTTTCTGAGGGACCAGCAGAAGATCACTCTATGTTGGTGCAGCTTTTCTTTCATTTCCATATTCATGCATTTTAATTTCCTTCTCGCAACCACCTCAGGGTATGGAACAATGCAAGAACTGCAAATGCACCGTTTATATTTGGATTTTTCCCTCGTCTTCTCAGCATTTTTCCTCCCATTCTTCCACTGGGATTCCAGAGCTCCACCAGACCAGCTGAAGATAGTTCTGATGTTATAACGTGACTGTTTTATGTTACTGGAAATGTTTGTGAGAGATGTTTTGTCAGTCAATGTGACAGACTTAAAACAGACTTAAAAAACAAAAAGGGAGAAAGCATCCTTTAATTGTTCTTTCTGAATGGGTGATTTCAGTATATTTTAACATATTTTTAAATGTTGTATGATCCAAATACAATAAAAAAACAGGTACAGAAAGTTTTGGAATGAAACCATTGAGTTGCTTTAGCAACTTACATGACATCCAAATAAGCAGTGAGTAGTGTTATTCGTCTTTTCTCTAGTCCTTGACTAAAACAGCTTTATACACAAGGCCGTCCCGTCCATGTAAACATGATGTAAACTCAGCTCTGACAACGGTACAGCTGGGACTCAGGCTTCTCACTCATTGTAGACAGTCATGACTCAGAGAGACATTTACAGAGGATATACTTGTTTTTGCTGTATTTATGTGTAAAGTGTTCCTTTAAAGGCACCAGACTCCTTTGACAAAATTGAAATTTTACTTGCAGATCATTGGAGTTGATTCTCTTCTATTGCCTCAATTAGTTTGTCTGTTTGTTTACTGGTACATTTTTATTTATTCTTTAATTATCTGCTTATCTGCTACGTTAAAAATAAGAAATTGGTTGTTTAAAATAATAACACTGGAAACAGAAATGAGGGAATATGATCAAATATCACATACGGTAATAAGAAGTATTTTGAATCCAAATTGTGATTTTGAGCTCCCTTGTTTTCCCTCCAGTTTCTCCTCTGGTTCCATGCCCCTGCAGAGGAGCCAGTGGGCCTGTGGTTGCTGTACTTTCCTCAATGCAGCTGGTGCCCCACGCTGCTCCATCTGTGAAGCCCCCCGACGGAAAGAAGACACCCGCTGGATGTGGCAGACGACCAGCAAGCAGGACAGACGCTGGTCCTGCCCAGGCTGCACGCTCACAAATCCCCCCGGTACTCTGGCCTGCTCACTATGCGGCTACACAGAACCCCAAAACAGACAACGGGGCTCGTCTGAAGACCTGCCCCCTCGACCTCAGCGCTCCAGTAGCTGCTCTGGCCCCCTGAGACCTCCGTCCACCGATGATGACGTTAAAACCAGCCTTGTGTGGGACTGTCGGAGGTGCACTCTGCAGAACACCCCGGCCTCCATGTCCTGCTCTGCCTGTGGTGGACCACGCAAACTTTCTCTCCCCCAGATCCCTGCAGACGCCTTGCTCATCCCTGAAGTCAGCGATAAAACAGGAGTACAACAACCAGAACCTTTAGCAGGGGCACTCTCCCTCTCCATCTCTACCCGAGGAGAGTGTTTACCTGTGGAGGCTTCAGGCTCCTCAGAGCTCAGTGCAGCATCTTCAGGTCATAACAATCCTGTTCCCTGCAGCCGCAGAGAGGTTCCACCCTCTGAGGTCAGCCTCACCAACATAAGTCCCTCTCCGTCATCCCTCGCTGTTTCCCATCTCTCTGCACCACCGGAGCTGCAGCCTGGGAGGCGGCTCAGCGTCCTGACGGAGGAGATGTCGCCCGCGTCAGACGCCTCTGCGGTGTTCCCACCATGTGCGGTCCCTGATATTAACAGGACAGAGGAGTGGGCGTGTCCAGCGTGCACTCTCATTAACAAGGTGAAAGCCAAGCACTGCCTGGCCTGCCACACCCCTCAGCAGCTCAGACCAGCTCCGTCCACTAAGAGGAAAGAGAGCATGCTTGTGGAGGCGCTGCGGCAGAGTGATGAAGGAGAGGCCAAGGAGCTGTGGGAGAACATTGTCAGCTTCTGCAGAGAGGTTTGTCCACAACTTATGATAAGTTACAGCTTCTAACTGACATAAACCTGAACTTTGACTTCACTTCATGTCTGCTGACAAAGAAAGTCTATGTGAGTTTAACACCTCAACATACCTGCAGGATTTATGACATCATTAATGTTTTTGAACCAATTAGGGTCCTTTTATGTCACTTAAACAAGCGTGATGTGAAGATAAAAACATCCACAACATTGTCCCCGCAGACATCATAGAGGACGGACCCACTAAAACCACTTTGTGACCCACTTTTGGGTAGCAACCCACCAGTTGAAAAACCTATGCTCTAAAGCATAAAAGCCCAAAAATATAAAAACTAATATAAACTCTAGCCTGACTGTAAAAAAACACAGCTACATGAGGCTGTATGCACACAAGTGGTTGTCCATTGTTTTGAGGCTTGGCAGCTATCTGTCATACTTCCACAGTCCTCTGCCCTTGAGGTTTACTTGTCTCTGTCATATTCCCAGAACTCTGTGACATTTGTGGATGACAGCTTCCCGCCTGGTTCAAAGTCCGTCGGCTTCCCAGCGGACGATAGCGTCCAACATCGTGTCAAAAAGTGGCTTCGACCTCAAGAAATCAACTGCTGCCACCTGAAAGACCGTGCCGTTAAATGGTCTGTATTCCGCACGCTTCGCCCCTCCGACATCCTTCAGGGACTTCTGGGTAATTGCTGGTAAGTCCACTCCAACCTGACCTATTAGAGAGCAAAACAGTGTTAAAAAAAAGTTTTAAAATACCCCAAAACAAATAAGTGATGACCAAAATAAAATTTAAAATTGTGTCACACTCAGAATATTCTTTATGTTTAACATGCAAAAACTCAACTTTTCTGCAGTGTAGGTGCAGTTTTCCCATTAGATTTTTTAGTGTAAAATTCTACATATTACACCTTTATGCTTATGTCGTTTTAAGGACGCCTCTAGAAATTTAAATCATTATCAGACACACTGCAATCTGTTTCTTTTGATTTGAGTAATTGATCCCCACAAAATGTTTTCAGAGAGGTTGAGATCATATGTGTTCATTCATATGTTTAATGAGTTATACCTAAAATGTTGAATGAACATATCTTTTAAGTTCAAACACCTTCCTGGCTGGCTGTTTTGGAGAGCAGGTTCCTGAGTGCCTTGGCAGTCTTGGCTGAACGTCCCGAGCTGGTGGAGAAGGTGATGGTGACTCGCTGGCTGTGTGCCGAAGGAGCCTATCAGGTGCGTCTGTGCAAAGACGGCTCGTGGACGACCGTGCTGGTGGACGACATGCTGCCCTGCGACGAGAATGGACACCTCCTCTTCTCTCAGGTCAAACGTTCAACTGCAAACATTCAGTTTTAAGATATTGTGTGGGTATAGCCACATTTGACGAGTGAAAAAAGGCTCTAAACGAAATGTTTGTATGCTTGTTTGTACTTTTGTCGTTTATTGTCAGATGACCAGCATCAAGGTGCATTACCCCCACCAAGTGTCCCCTCCTTAATATGAAGAAACCCTACCAAACATATTCTTTAAAAGTGCATCATAGACTTTTTGACACAACTTTTTTTTAGTCCTGTGAGACATCATGAAGAATGGGCCCACTAAAAACCACTTTGCAACCTACTTTGGGGTCCCAACACACCAGTTGAGAACCATGACTCTGAGGCATAAAAACCCCCAACATTTGAATAAAACCTTTAAAAATTGTTTGGTAACTACTTTGGTTGTGACCATTTTTGTTGTTTTTTGGAGTCAGAGGTGGATGTTTGCTAAAATTAGCAATAGAAACATAAACTCATTGGAGAAATGTTTATTGAGCTAATGAATCAAGTAGATACATCTATTTTTCAGCAGAATCTTGTGTAGAGACAAGTATTAATATTCAATCTGCAGGCTGGTGTTTCCCTGCCATCCCCTGACAGGATTTTAAAGCTGTGCTAAAGGAGATAATTACTCGACTATAAATTCCTCTTATCTTTTCTCACGTAATTCCTCAGGCCCAGCGGAAGCAGCTGTGGGTGGCCCTGATTGAAAAAGCTTTGGCAAAGCTGCATGGTTCCTACTTTGCTTTGCAGGCAGGTCGGGCCATTGAGGGCCTGTCCACGCTGACAGGGGCCCCCTGCGAGTCGCTGGCCCTCCAGGTTAGTGCCACCAACCCCAAAGAAGAACCCATCGACACAGACCTCATCTGGGCTAAAATGCTAAGCTCAAAGGAAGCAGGGTGAGTGAAAGGATGCAATCTTAAATTTAAATCTGTGACTAACTTGCAAGAATGAATCCTTAATGGAGTTTTTCTGTGTGTGTGTGTGTGTGTGTGTGTGTGTGTGTGTGCGTTCCTAGTTTTCTGATGGGGGCATCTTGTGGAGGTGGTAACATGAAGGTGGATGACTCAGAATATGAGTCACTGGGTTTACGACCGAGACATGCTTATTCCGTCCTTGATGTGAGAGATGTAGATGGTCACAGGTAAGCACATTTCCGATTAAGTAATTCTTCATCCAAATTCAGCGTCCGTACACTTGCTGGTAGTTTGTTCCTGATTTATTATACTGTTCAAAGACACAGCTAAGAACAGGCACTGAAGAAGTAGGTTTTGACATATAGGGCTTTCACACTTGCACAAAACTTCTAAAGAACTCCTGATATTTTAAGCAGGAGATGTATGTGGGAACACAAACAGCCGAATGTTTCACTCAGACTTCACCTGGAGTTTCTCCTGCCGGCCCGATTCTCTGCTCCGTCCTCCCTATTTTAAAATCTGTGAAATGCTCTTTTTACATAGTGGAACTACATTGATTAATGCATGTTAAAGAATTACTTACCTCTGTATTTTTAAAGCTTCAGCCTATTTAGACTAATGCAATGGCTTCAACATAATCCTTGGGGGCAAGTGCGCTCAATCTAAGTATGCACACTTAAAGGGCTCTTTTTTCCACTAAAAGACTCCGATTTTGATCTGAGTGGTCTGCAACGTACAGAAATTCACTTTTGTTTTGCTAGTAATAATTAATGTCAGTGCAGTCTGGTTTGTGTAAAGAGAACAGTGGGATTGCTGTGTGTGGTTAAATAAGGTCTCTTGCTCTTGATTGAACGTCAGACATAATTACAATCTGAGAGTCTGTGGCAAAGGAAGCACTTTTAGTTGACGATTAAACTGGGCTAGTTTGCCAGCTTGCATTTCTTTTGAGCTTTTAGTCTGTTATGGCTTTGAATAGCCAAAGCTCAAAGCTTTTGCCAAATGTCTGTTTGGAGCTTGGGCATATGAGACATTTCCAACTCAAATCTTCACCATACTTCTGGTGGCAGTAGGCTACTTGGTTTCTCTGGTTGCTTACAGTCCAGCTCGTTTAAACCAATCCAACTGCTGGAAAACAGAAAATCCATCACTACCAGTTTGGGAGTGTTGCCACAGACACCACATGTAAAACTGAACTTGAAGCATCTTAGATCTGCTTCCTGTTTCAGGTTACTGCAGCTGAGAAACCCGTGGGGTCGCTTCTCCTGGACTGGGCCCTGGGCAGACGACTGGCCAAATTGGCCTCCACATCTGAAGAGGGAGCTATGCGCCCAGCGGGCAGAAGATGGCCTCTTCTGGATGGACTTTTGGGACTTCATCAGGTACATCAGCTCGTAGCGGCAAGCTTGTAGGCTGGACTTTGATATTTTCTTCTTTTTTTTTTAAGATTTATTTTTGGGCTTTTTGTGCCTTTTAATGGATAGATAGGACAGTGGATAGAGTCGGAAATCAGGGAGAGAGTGGGGAATGACATGCGGGAAAGAAGCCATGGGTGGGAAGTGAACCCGGGCCGCCCGCTTGAGACCACAGCCTCCATACATGGGGCGTGCGCACCAACCACTGCGCCACCAGCGCCCCGACTGTGATCTTTTTATTCATTTATTTTAAATTTATGGTTAAAACTGTGGCAAAAATGATCATTATTTACTTCGAACACTAACTTCTACAACCAAAAAAAGGATTTATCTTATAATGAAAATAATCAAACAGAAGAAAAACATGCGTTAACTTTACTAGGATAAAAATAATCGTAGGCTACTGTAGTCACATGTTGAGTGTCTTTGAGTGTGTCTTTGACCATGGCAGGTACTTTGACTCAGTGGATATCTGTAAGATTCACTCAGACTGGCAGGAGGTTCGAGTGCCGGGGGTTTTTCCCCGTGGAGCTGAAGTCCCGGTGACAGTTGTTTCCATCACAGTGCTGGAGAGAACGGCGGTGGAGCTGGCTCTATTCCAGCAGGGTAGCAGGTAGGAACACTCCCATAGTCCTAGTCTGTGAATCTTTAAATAAATGTGTGGACAGTTTGGACTGCTTGTTGTGCTGCTCCTGAACATCTCTGATGTTGGTGGAGATAGTTTAGAGATGTTTTTCTTCAACTTATCATTCTGCCTTAGAGAAATCTCAGCAAATGAATTAAACAAAACACTAATTTTTGATTGCAACAACTCAATGCAAATTTCAACCTCCCATCTTATGTGGTGTCCAACAAGGCTCTTTACTTGGCTGAGTGATCTTCCTTCATTTATACTTATTTCACTGTTATGCTGATGACACCCTGATGTACCGCCCTCTGATAAATCCTTTTAACAACAGCCAACAACATCGCCCAAATAACCTCTTGCTGCACATTTACTTTCACTGGCTGAATGTCAATATATCTCAAGTCATATCATTCAGACCACAACAGTTACCCATCTTTCTCTCTCCATGTTAACTGAAATCACAAGCAAAACAAACGCATGATCTTATTCACCATTCAATTTCACTTGACATTTGATCTTATTTGCTGTCACATTTATTCTTTGTAATTCAACTTGCAAAATATATGAATTAGAAAGTAATGTGTGCAGGCTGATCCATGTAAAACATCCTTATCTGTTCCTCAGGCGGTGGGACACAGCAGAGAGCCACCTCTTGGATTTGTGCGTGTTAGTGTTTCGAGTCTCCTATGACAGCTCTGGTGTCGTGTCGCTTGGTCGTCTGCTGGCTCACAGCCGGCGCTCTGTTAGGAGGTTTGTTGGCTGCGATGTCATGCTGGAGCCAGGCGAGTACGCTGTGCTCTGCTGCGCTTTTAACCACTGGCACACAGAGGACACTGAGGAGACAAGTAAGAACTCAAACAGCAGACTTTTTCTCAACTTTTTACTTTGTTTAAAGAATCTGCATCAAAATAATTCAACTTCAAACTTTTAAAGCTGTCTGCAGTGTACACTCTAGGCCACATTTAAATGTTAGTGAAAACCCTACTGTAAACGTCTGTGAACAACAAGTGCTTCTAAATATCATGCAGTGTTGAATACTTTGAGGATCGCTAGTTAGGCAGAAAGAGCAGAAAGAATTAAGTAAAAAAACTTTATGAGTTACATCGTGTAACTTAAATGTCTTGTTTCATTAAGTTTACTTTTGGTTTCTACATATCATTAACACCCATCTTGCAATGAAAGTTCTGTGTTTATAAGACCAATTCCTTTGTGTCGAAGGATGACTTGAATCTAACTTTAACTGTCTTATGTACAAAGACTTACCCAGCATTAACTGTCTATAATTATTCAGCCACAAAAGGCTGCAAGTTAAACAACGCAAGAGATCGAAAGCATTTGTAATTGAGGGCAGTTGTTCCCAAACTTTTTCTGCCTGGCCCTTCTTTGGCAAATGAAAGTATCCCCCCCCCCCCCCCAGCCTGCACCATACATATCAACATGTAACACTCTTTACTAACAAATTCCTATGTTTTTAGAGTTTATCTCTAAAATTGGTTGCAAAAAGTACAGAATAGCAACTTCAGTGTGTGACAACAAACTAACAAGCCACTTTGAAAGAGGAAGCAATTAAAAGTGACACCACAACATGAAACAACAAAATGTGTGATGACTGGTGTCATTCTCAGACTTATGTTTACCTGGATGTCCTCTCACAAAATTTGCCATGCTTTGCTAGCATTGAAAAACTGTGTGCAGTGTTTTTTTTTGGCACAACATTGTTTACTTTTATTTATTTTTTTCCTTTGTTTCTTTTTGTTAAACTGACCCTATGCTAAAATTAATTTGCAGTCCATTATGTTCATCTGTTAATGAGCCAATAACTGTTTCCCTGTTTACAGCGAGCTGCAGCAGATCAGAGGAGCCCGGCTACATGCTGGCAGTCTACAGCTCCAGACTGGTGATGGTGGAGCAGATAACGGCCTCCAACACCACCATCGCCGACGCCATCATCCAGCTGACAGAAACCAAAGGAGAAAGGCATGAGGTAATTCTGCCTTCAGTTAATAATTTGTTAAACCATGCATACTTATCCTGAAGAAAAAAAAGAGTTTGGTATAAGGACTTTTTGAATTTTATCGTTTCAGGGTCGTGAAGGAATGACCTGTTACTATCTGACACACGGCTGGGCAGGGCTCATTGTCATGGTGGAAAAAAAAGAGTTTGGTATAAGGACTTTTTGAATTTATCGTTTCAGGGTCGTGAAGGAATGACCTGTTACTATCTGACACACGGCTGGGCAACAGAAAATAAAACAACAGTTTACTAAAAATGTGTGATTCTTACCAGAGGAAAGAGATGTATTTGAGAATACATGCAGGGTTAAGAAAACAGGCCCCAAAATTCAGTAAAAGAAAACTACCCAACATAACCAAATTACAAAAGCAATCTCCACCATACAAGTTCAGTATACTGTGTGTTTCTAGCTCTATAGTATAACAATTGAGCTATATGGTAAAGAAGAACACATTTTATCAGGCACTTACAACACACAAAAGACTTGTCAGTAGATACATTAAGGGTTGGCTTTGTTGACAGTAAGAAAAACGTTTAAATAAAAAAATAGGAAATTGCAAAGACCATCATACAGCAGCAGTACATTTTATACCTCTTTGTACATTTGAATGAGGCTTCATCTTTCTCTCTCTCAGACAGGTGCTTGTGGTTTTGTCTCAGCTGGAGGGAAATGCCGGATTTTCCATCACACACAGACTGACTCATCGTAAGGCCGTCCAGGCTTCTCTGGGGAACTGGAGTCCCTCAAAAGCAACACATAGTCCTGCACTGAGCCCGGGAACAGCAGGTCTACATCAGCCTCGGCCTCTATGATGGCTGACTGGGAGAGTGACACAATCATTGAAGAAACTAGGAGATAGTTGATCTGTTTCATTCACTAGACATGAGGTCCCAGCATGGAGGCAACTTCTTTCGAGGAACAGTCTACCAGTTTAATGATTTCTCTTTTTGTACCTTTGTGATTCCCGACCAAGAGGTACCTGTAACCTGGGGGTCAACTCTGTTACCTCCAGTGTTTACATGGGAAGATTTTAGTTTACCTTGTTTGAAAAAAGTAAAGGAAATTAAATATATTTATATAAAAAGAAAAACCACTAACGAATAGACTGCAACGCTTAAACACTGCCCATGTAATTATGTAAAATCTAGTGAGCAGGCCGGTGATGTTCAAACACTTCTCCATATAGGCTAATGAAAAGAAATGTCATCAGTAAAAGGAATTGACGAATTGACTGGGAAATAAATTGTTAGTCAAGAGTAGTAGATGTATAGTTGGAAAAAGATTAAAGAAATGGCTGTTAGCTGCAGTAGAGAGTTCAAGAGTTGAAACGGTAAGTTAGCATAAACAAAATGGATACACTATTGAGATATGGAAAGATAGTTGAACTCGTAGGCCTAAAGAGGTGGAATGTTAGTTGAAACGTTTAGCTAAAAGATATTCATAAATAATTGGAACAGTTAGATTACATTTTTGATCAACATTTGTTAGCATTAAGATCGGGGATACGCAGTTAACAAAGATTGTTCAAATTTATGGAAATTCAATAGACAACATTCAAAAAAATAGGATGAGACAAGATGAGAGTAAGATTAAAAGGCTTGATAAACAGCAGAAACGGTGAGCTAAAAGTTAGGGATAAGCAGAATTGAACAGAATTAAAATCGTTAGCTAGATACAGTTGAAATTGTTCGCGAAAGTTATGGATAATCAGCTGAAATCATGATCTATAAGTTGTGTATGATTAGTTGGAAGAGCTTAAATGAAGAGAAAGCCTAATGGATACACGTCAGAAACCGTTTTCTAAAATTAAACTGTAAAATAAAAAGTAAGCTTAAAGCTATGGAAAAACATTTTAACTATTTAGCTGAAAGTAGTGGAGAAATGGCTCACGTTAGCTTGCCGCTAGAAGAAAACACTTAATTATACCTACCTAACAACCAACAGTTTGATTATATTGATAGAATATCTCATTTTTCTAAGTTTACAGTTAAATTTAAAGTTAAAATTTAGCTTAAAATCTAATTAAGCACAATTGGTATATGACAGGTATAGTCTGTGAAGGGTATAGTAGCATGTATGGTTACAGCGCACATTAATAAAGGATTGTACACCACTGCTCTAGCTCATTTTACTAGAAACAGGCAAGTTTCCCATAACTGTTGGACTGTTTTACAAATATCATACAGGAAGACCTTTATAAAGTAACCTGGTGCTTCTTCACTATTAAGAGTCGAGGAAAGCTGTATTGGGCAGCACACAAACAGCCAACCAGTTTGCCAGTTACCTAGTTAGCGTAGAAAAAAAGATATGTAACTATGTGCCACAGGGTTGATAAAAACTGTTTTTAATTAATTCCATGGAGTACATTGTGATTATTCATTCATGAAAAAAATACCACCTCCACCTTTTATACCACTAAGTAGAAAATAAGGGTTCTGTTTTTGGGGTTTATTTCTTTCCTGCCAACACCAAAACCATAAACAGAAGTTGCACATTCCTCAAAAGCTTGTAGAACAGACACATGATGCACTTTATACAGTATTAACACATTTCAGATCACGGGCTGGTCTTCAGGTCTCTATGTTGCACTGTTGATAGAGGATTAGGAGTCGTTACTATAGTTGTTTGTGGGAACTGGCTAACACAATCATTGTGTTAATTCAGCTCAGTATTACCCAGCCTTTCTGCGATCTTATCAGTGAAACAAGTAGGATGTGTTAAGTCTAAAGTCTTAGTTTAGAGTGGAGACATGTGGAAGCATTTAGCACTTTATAAACTTTAAACTGTATGCTGGATTCTTGTGTTTTTCTTTATAGAAAATGTTTTTTCGAGTAGTGGAGAACCATATTTTTAGCTTATTAATACTATTCCACTATTGTATTGTGAGTGAAAACATATAAACTATGCAAATGTTTGAAAGCTGTGTTGATGATTTTGTCAATTAAAACATGTATAGGTCTTTATGTTGGTGTATGTATTTAATGCTGACGGGGCTGATACATTTTAATGTAATGTATTGTGTTTGTGGTGTTACTTTATTAATAACTATCACTATAATAATGATAATATCATAACTCTATATTTCTTTATTTAGAGTATTATTCTTCACTTATGTGAAATGTTAAAATGTTTAACTTATAGGTTACAGTCTCTTAATATTTTTTTATCATAATTAATTTAAATGATTAGTTAGTGGGACTGAGCAGAGAGTAATAAAACAATTTTGTCCAATTGCCGTTTGGACTGTTAGACTTGTGGGAATAGGAAATCCATTAACTCACCTGAAACTAATTGAGATCAATCCGGGTAAAAAGAATAATTATCAAATGACAGTCTACAATTAAATGGAACGTAGATATTATGCCACACAAATTGATCAAAAGAATAGGGGCATAGGGATCCTGGTAAATAAAATGACACGGGAAAATAACAAAAAAAAAAAGTGCATTAAAGTAGCCTATCAAACACAAAGGTTAAGCCATAGCGTGGATAAAGATCAACCGTGGTAGGTTTATAGATTATATTATAGATTATAGTGTCTAGATTACATATAATCACTCCAGCACTTTTAAATTACAGGCTCCGGGTTAAATGTGCAATTTTCATCAGTAGCCTACAGTAGCTCATAATCTTGTGCAATACTCAAGCACTTTTGCACTTTAATAGTCCAGCACTTGACATCCCATAGCAGCACTTTAACTCTGAAGGTCACTTTATCCTGGTTTACTGTAAACAAAATTGCACAGCCACTCTTTATGCTTGTATAAATGTGTCTCTGTTAACTAATGTAAAGTCAGGGTTGTTCTTTGGTCAATATTTGTAGTGTTGGTATTTTCTTGTCATTGTGATTCTAAGTAATTTTGTAGACGTGTGTAGCCTAAAACAAGTTTGCCATGGGCCTACTGATGGAAATGAGCCTATATGCCTAATTTATGACATATTTAGGTCTACATGTTTATTTTAATTCATGTGCACTGTCCCCACTTTAAATAAATAAATAACATAAACATTAAAAGCCAGATGTAAGCTGAAAGAAATTAAAAACGCCTCATTAGCCTACAAAACAAGTAAGGGAGCGAAAAAAAGAGAATAAATGAAGGGTTGGGGACCGATATTTGGCATTTGACCTTTGATGAATGCAGCAATTAATTTGATCTGTATCTGCATTGTATTTTACAGATCGATGATAAAAAACTAATGCATTTAAAAGTAATTTGTCTGCCCTGCAGGTGTGTCTTTTTTCCCCTCTGGGTCTGTTTTCAATCACCAGTCTGTCTGCTGTGTTCCATTTTTCCTCGGAACTGGGAATTACGACACACCACGTTCCAGTTGCAAGTCGGACAAGCAACATGGACGTCTCCGGGAATACCTTTGTTTTACTAGGTACTCCCAAACGATAACAACACACTGCGTGATTGTTTCTGACCGAAAGTAACATGACAACACCCCACATTGAGAACTTGCACAATACCATCGGTGTGACTGATTTAATTAAACAAAAAAGACGACTAAGCTGCTAATAAACACATTTACAGCTTAAACATCCCTGTCGATGCACGTAGTCAGCTATATTGGATTTCCGTGTTACCAGCACCAGTCGGAAGTGTCAACTGGAACGCCCCCTGAAGTCGGAGCAGTTACTTCCGAGGTAAATTGAACGTGGCATTACTCGGAAAGTCGGAAGAAGAAGCGCACAACCGCGAGATCAACAATATAAGTTTGCAGCACCGTGTATCCGCAGTAAGTGAAGCTGTAGTAGTAATACACAGTTTATTGGCAATTCTGTCTTATTTGTGTGTAATTACATCAGTCTTACACACAGTAGGCTACTGCCCATCTTCCCATGTTGCTGCGGCCTACGAAAAAATACCGTGTAATGCGTTGTTATCAGCTGGTATTGTTTTTACAAGACAATGACTAACACTGGAGCTGATGAAATGATTAAATGAAAATAAAATAAGAATTACTTTACCGTTAATTATCTCAAAAACTACACAGTAAAATATGCTGAACACATGAGGAACAAGAATCCATTGAAAGTCTTTGTCACCTGTCAGATTTGTTAAAAATACAATATTGAATATGACCAAAATATCAAAGCTCTCTCTGAAATTTGAGCAAAACTTACCTTTAGTTTTCTCAAAATCTATACAGTAAAATCTGCTGAAAATTCTCATGAAGTCAGCCTACATGAGGAACAAGAATCCATTGAATGATATTTGTCACCTGTTACAGACTTTTTCAAAATGAAATATTGAATATGACTAAAATATCAATTTGAGAAGAATTTACCTTTAATTATTTAAAAAAAAAAAAAACTGTGCAGTAAAATCTCCTGAAAATTCTCAGGATTACAGTCAGGGACATGGAGAACAAGAATCCATTGAAAGAAAGATCTTTGTCACCTGTCAGATTTTCCAAAATAAAATATTGACTAGGACCAAAATATCAAAGCTGTCATTGAAATTTGAGCAGAATTCAACTTGAATTATCCCAAAAACGATTCAATAAAACAATCTTAAAATGTAAATGACTATTACAAATGTTGTAATTACATTTTTATTGTATTTTCATTTCATAATAAATAACAAGTTTTCGAACTATGCCGCCACATTCCTCCTTTTTGGTTGCTCGAAGCACCCATACCTTAAATACTTCTATAGATGCGTGTCATTTTTCGAGTGGCGGCTGGCTTGACCGGGGTTTTGCAAAAGACGGCTCACTTGACCACAGTGTAATATGTGAACAGTAGAGAGCTTCATCACGGCTGTGTTAACAATGTTTGGTTTTTGTTTTTCAGTACGTCTTGACCTGAACATGAACTTGTCTGTGGATCCCCAGAAGAACGTTTCATTGCGAGAGTTCAGCACCATTACAGGTCAGTTAATCATAATAATCATTATGATTAAAACAAATAATAATAATAATAGCAATAATCTCTCTAATGTTGTGCATGCTGACCTGCTACTTTTATGTGTTTTAGACACAGACAACACATATCCAGTGCCCAGCCCATCACCTGTGCCAGCAAATATGGGGTTCAGCAAGTACCAAACTTTGTTTCTTATTGACCTGATGCAGCAGCACCTCGAGACATTAGTCGATGGTCTCCCCAAAACCCTGAATGACTTCAATAAACGGCTAAAATCTGAAAAGGTCAATAAAAGGCAACTCTGGAAGGACACAGCAGACAAGTTGGGCAACCATTTTAAACAGTTGTTCTGCCCGAAGAAGGTGGCCAGGAAATGGAACACACTGGTTGATGGTTACAAAAAAGTCAAGGAAGATAACAGAAGTCCCGGGACGAGTGCTATGCGTTTCCAGTTTTATGCTGAAATGGACGAGCTCATGGGAGGGCAACACGGTGTGGTCTTCCCTGTTGTTGGGACATCGGATGGGCTAGAGGTGCGCGAACAAGAGGTCGTAGGACACTGCAGCAGTCTCACAGCCGGCGCTTCATCCAGGAGGGTTAGAAAACTAAAAAGAGAAAACACACCGAGGCCTACTGCCACACCGACGCCTCCTCTCAAAAGAGGAAGGGTGGATGACGACGTCTTGCAGTTCCTGCGAGACTCAGAGGTAGCCAGTCAGCAGCGCCATGAGGAGACTCTCGCTCAACTCAAGTCTGCTCAGCAGGGCTTTGAGGCAATAATGACAAAGTTTTTAGAAAAGCTGTGATCTGTTGCTTCTGAAAATTTCAATATATATATTTTTTTAATGCAATATGTTACATAACTAAGGTAGTTGCTGCACAATTTTGAGTGTGCCTTGAAGTTTTTTTGTATATCGTTATAACTTAAAATATTTGGCACAACTGTTATTTCTTTGCATATTGCATTAGATTGTTTGTCTTTTGGTAATAAAGGATTGTTTGGATAACACTTAATAACTTATATTTTGGTCAGAGGTGCTCAATCTTTTTTCAACCAAGGACCCCTTGCAAGATTGGGGACCCTCTCATATTTTGACATATTTTTTTACACATCTATATTCTTAGTTATATGAAAAAAAAGAAAAAGAAATGCATTAGATTCTAAGAGTTATAGATGTGTTAGATTAGAAAGTCACACATGAGCTGTTGTAGATTTAAGATATTCATTTAACTACGAAGCCTTTGGTACAAAAACAGTTATTCAATGATTGAATCTGAAAACTTATCAGTACATACTTGCAATTAATACGTTAAATAAGCAAAATTGGATGAAAGAATAGATGGTGAAGCAGTTAACTGAGGAAAACAATTCTTTACTGGTACACAGAAGAAAAACACAATAACAATTAAGAAATCCTAAAATGACCAAGCTATACTTTTGGCTGGCGTTACAGTGGTAGAGGTGAGCATTATTTAAATTTCTGAAAGAGCAGGGTAAAACATTTCATTGCATTTTCTGAAAACTACCATAAGCACTGAACAGAAGATAATGATCTACTCATTTTGTTCCTGACACATCTCTGAGGTACTAATGCACATATTGTGTTACAAAACAGGCTGCCATTACTATCATCACTATGGCATCAATACGGGTGTTCTGCAGATCGCGAAGACGCCTTCACTTGCACTTCATCCATTTTCAACAATCCCCCTCCCGCGGCTGATGTTGGCGTTCTGCTGCTGGTCTACTTCAGTTAGAGCCCCATTGTCACGTTTCAGAGTGATGACGACATGGGAAGGCCTGTCCTATGTATGCGCTGTCTCATTCACCATCTTCTCCTGCCATGTTGTGTAGAAGTTGGCGGACCTTAACATCCTGGCATCATGAACCCTGCCTGGTGGTCCAGCAAAAATGAAATAAGGAATCGCCCCCCTCTCATGTACAATCCCCCTGAAGGAGAATGGAGTAGAATGATTTTCTGTTCATGTATTCTCCTCCTCTTATGGGTGGCCTCTGCACCCTGATGTGGCACCCATCAATTGCACCAATGACACCACTGAGGCGTTGGAAAGTAGCAGCCTACACCTATTTGGCCAGGAGATGAACTCCCTAAAGCTGTTTTGGTTGGTCGTGTACCACAGGAACATCAGCACCGTTTTTTGTCACGGGGTCTGGTGGTAGACCTTGACTGTGTTCCTCTATTATGCCGTGCTCCAGTTCTGACTCCCGGAGTAGATCTTCTCCAGTTGAGCATTTTAAAAAAAAAGTCTGCTGTCGGAGTTTGTAATATTCCAAATTTGACAAAAGGATTTTCATCTTTAGTGTAAATGCTTACCTGTTCAAATTCCTGGTTATCAATCTCATAAAGTTGACCCCCTAGAATAAATCATAAAACGAAGACAGAGTCCTAGCGACAGAATCGAACTGTACACATCATAAAATGAGTTCAGCTTTTGTGTAAAGTGCAATAATAAGCTACAATAAACCATGTCCTTGTATAATAAAAAAAAAAACACACACAAAAAACACTTAAGACATGAAATGGTGGCAAGAACAATGGAGAGGTATATAAAATGCATTATCTAAAGGAGAAGAGTACAAAAAAAATGTATTATCACAAAGGAAAACGGGGTTTGACTAAATACGCAAGGTGGCAGTAATGCAACAGCTTGGACACGGGCTACCGGGAAACCCCGCAGAAGAAGAAGAAGAAGCAGCAGGCTGCTCAGCTGCTTGCTAGCTGCATGGATGTATTGGGTTAGCTGTCTAGCCGGGTGCTAACAACTGTAGTGGGACACGTGTCTGATTTTATTCACTCTTGTTGACAGTGTAGCTGTCGCGTCGCTTCTTCTGCCACAATGGGGATCCTGGAAAAAATCGCGGAAATAGAGAGAGAAATCGCTCGGACGCAGAAAAACAAAGGTAGGAGAGGGATAGCTGCAGGGCTAGCTGTTAGCTTTCATCTTCAAACTTACAGGCAGCTGTGTGTCACCCGTCAGTGTTACTGCATTACTCAGTGAACTCTGTGTAACTTGAGAAGAAATATGCTAACTTGCATAAGTAAGATAGATTCCAGTCATGGCTGCGATCACAGAAACAGTCTCATTTGTTTATTTCTGTTTTAAATAAAGAGTTTAAATCAACGCAAACGTGTGCTGCTTTCGCTGGTGTCACAGTTGCAAAGCAGTTTTTCCCCCCCTCTGCTTTTTAAGAGTCATACACTTTCTAGATATCAAACTTTACAGAATGAGACATGGTTAAAAAAGCATGCATGTGTTACATTCATTCCTCCAGCCACTGAGTACCATCTGGGTTTGCTGAAAGCGAAGCTCGCCAAATACAGAGCTCAGCTCCTGGAGCCCTCAAAGTCAGCTGGGGCCAAAGGAGAAGGTTTCGATGTGATGAAGTCAGGAGATGCTCGAGTTGCTCTGATTGGTTTCCCCTCTGTGGGTAAGGTATGTAAACAACATGATGAGGTTTTTGTTCCCCTACTGCAGTGAATCTTAGATATTACAAAGAAATGTTACTAATGTTCCAATATTGTTTATTTTCTTTATTCATAACACTTCCATTACAACAACATAAAACTCAAGTATAATACTAGATGTAGACATGATTGGTCACTGATTGAAACTGCACTGCTGCTGTTTCTCTTTATTCAAGCACCAGATCTCTGCGTTGTGCGTCACAGTGTAATAATTTTTATTGCACTTTATCCTGGGAATACCGGTTGCTGTATTTTGTGTCACTTCTACATTTTCAGTGTGAAACAGTACATTCTGCTCCTGTTATTTCCATTTCCATCTATATTAAAAAAAGGAAATAATCTTCAGAAAAGGTAAAGGGGTGATAATGGATTTGAAGTGTCTAAAAATTGTAAATTCTGTTTGGCGTTTTTTTTGTTTTGGATTTTGAAAATTTCAAAAAAAAAGAAGAGAATCGAAAAAGGCGAAGTACTTTGAGTTTTCTGTTGTATCTTTCATCACTACGCTGATTTACACAAGTCTTTGCACCCTGCAGTCCACCTTCCTTAGTTTGATGACGTCAACGGCCAGTGAAGCTGCTTCCTACGAGTTCACCACCCTCACCTGCATACCTGGTGTCATAGAGGTACGCGTGCACTCCCAGCAGTGACTACATGAACGCTTGCAGGTTTTTTTTTAAATTGCGAGGGCATTCTGCAAACTAACCCCTGTTGTCTGTTGCTGTTCAGTACAAAGGGGCCAACATCCAGTTGTTAGATCTGCCGGGAATCATTGAGGGTGCTGCCCAAGGTAAGCTTAGCCTTTATGTCTTTGTGTATTGTGAGATAGGGAATGGTATTATATCTAATTATTTTTTTTATAAAGCCTGGAAACAGAAGGAAACACAAAACCTATACACAGGCAAGGCAAGTTTATTTATATAGCACATTTCAACAACAAGGCAATTCAAAGTGCTTCACACAAGACATCAAAAGAAACATTAAAATAGAACATATCACTGGAATTATTAAATCAGAATATATGTTCAAATAAAAATAATTCAAATTAAATTAATTGAAATAAATAAAGTACAATTTTAAAAGAGTTAAAAGTTACAGTGCAGAGTTAAAATTTAAAATCTTATTAAAGCTGTTTAATGAAAAGCAGCTGTAAACAGGTGAGTCTTCAACCTCGATTTAAAAGAGCTGAGAGTTTCAGCAGACCTGCAGTTTTTCTGGGAGTTTGTTTACAGAATAGTTGTTTCAGAAGAGCAGCCATCCGCCTGCGCGAAAATGACGAAAGGAGAACCCTCTAATGTTCCTCCAAGTCAGTTTGGTTCTTTCTTTGGAAAAGCCCCAGTTTCTTTTCAGGGTCCTGATACTTATGATAATGTGACGCTGATGTGCCAAATGCATTGTTTTTATTGCGGGCCACATATTGTGAGTCGTATCGTGAGTTAACCTGGGAGTAGTTTAGTTTAGTGTCTTGGTTTATTTGAGTCAGGGACAGTGTGCATAAATAATCATTCGTCTCTGAAGAGAAAAAGATGCTTTGTACCAGATTTAGGTAACTCGCTCATTTCCATCTGTCGTCTCTCGCAGATGATGGCAACATTAGGATTCCCTACACTCTTCAAAATACATCTTCAGATATTGACGGGATGGATTATTTAAATCTTAAACTTCCTATTCATACACACTTTGTTTAACCTTTTCTAGGTAAGGGTAGAGGTCGGCAGGTCATTGCTGTTGCCAGGACAGCAGACGTTGTCATCATGATGTTGGATGCCACCAAAGGAGATGTTCAGAGGTGTGTGTGTGTGTGTGTGTGGAAGGGCTTGTGGGTCATAAATATTTTCATGAACGTGTTTTTGTCTCTTAACATCATTATTTTTATTTTCAGAGAGCTTCTAGAGAAAGAGTTGGAGTCAGTTGGCATCCGGCTGAACATGGCGAAACCAAATATTTATTTCAAGGTTTGTTTTTCTGTTTTCAGTTTGAGCATAACATGAATAACTGCAGGTCATTTCAAAGACACCCAAAAAGATTAACCTTTTTTTTTTCTCCCCCCCATGTAGCCAAAGAAAGGTGGCGGCCTCTCTTACAACTCCACAGTTCCTCTCACCCATTGTTCCGAGAAACTCGTCCAGCTCATTCTTCACGAATACAGTATCCTTCAGCCTTGATGACGTTTTTTAGACGTCTTGAACCAAAGCATGTAACTGGACATCACAAAATGTATTATTCTATGTGGGAAATATTACAGTAGGGAAGCACTGGACACTTCACCAGCATAAATAACCCTAACAATGCCGTGCTTTTAATGGGATAAACATGAGAATATGTTCAGTGAGTAGAATGATGATAATGATTCTCCCTCAAGGTCACATTTGTGGCTGTTCCTTTTCATTTTGTTTGACTTGTTAAAAGTGCACAGTGTTTGTTTTGTCGACTTCTTTAACTTGCTCTTCTCAGAAATCTTTAATGCAGAAGTTCTCTTCAGGGAGGACAGCACACCAGACGAGTTCATCGATGTCATCGTGGGGAACAGAGTCTA